ATATATATATATATATATATATATATATATATATATATATTGCAGTGAATACTTGACATTTTTGTCTGATAAATTATTGAGTTTACTTATAAAAAAAAGACTAATACAAAATAAATGAATGTCACATTTGATAGATCTGGTAATAACTTTCTTTCTTTTTCCTCTGACAGACTTCCACTGATGTTGGCTGGCCTCAGAAAACTCTCCAGGACTTCGTCATCACTTTTCTCCTCGTCAGCCTCATCTGTCCGTTCATCTGCTCAGAGGCATCGCTTCTTGACGAGCAGACGAACCTCAGCTCACCTGCATCCATCCGCCCGCCGCCTGTCTCATTCTGCTTCCTGTACTGGCCTGATGGAGTTAAAGGAGGTTCTGCAGGTGCTAGAGCAGCTCGCGCCTCTGTCGCTGGCCGAGTCATGGGATAACGTTGGTTTGCTGGTTGAGCCGAGCAAACCTCGAGCGATTCAAACCATCCTGCTTACCAACGACCTTACAGACTCTGTCATGGAGGAGGCAGAGGCTGTTAGCTGTGACCTCATTGTGTCGTATCACCCGCCGCTGTTTAGGCCAATCAAGAGGCTGGTTCAGAAAGACTGGAAGCAGCGTTTGGCTATCAAGGCTATCGAGGCTGGGATCGCAGTCTTCTCCCCTCACACCTCATGGGATAGTATTGAAGGAGGGGTGAACGACTGGCTGGTTGGGGGCCTTGGTAAGCAGATGTGCCACTTGTTTATTAATCGATGCATCAGCTACAATACTATAATATTCTCAGTGTGCTTCAGTATTTTTCCTCATCTCTGTTTTTGTCTCAGGCAGCGGTCGGGTGTCTGTGCTGAGTCAGGCCCACGGTGGCGCTTGTCCCAGTCACAAACTGGAATTTGTGGTTAGGAACGCAGAGGAGCTCAAAACTGTTGAAGAGGAGTTGAAGGCTTGCGATGATGGAACAACTCTACACTGTTCAGGCAGCAGGTTGTGTGAACACAGTGAAACATCTGCTCAGGGATGTGTAGCAACAAAGTTTTTTTTTTTTTACAAGAAACCTGAAGGATTTTGTACATTTGCACGTTTTGCACGAGGGAAAATTACTTCCACCTTAAAATTCTTTCTCATGCGGCTAACAGTTGTGTGCGTCCAAGTGAAAACGATGTGAACTGCGCAAGATGTAACGTTCACTTTGTGCAACTAGATTCTGTAATCAGACATTTAATTTAGTTGAAATCACACACTTTGATGCGCTAACTATGCATCTGTTGTTATAAAACTTACAGAAAATTTACAAACTATAGATCAAAATATCCAGAAACTAACATAATGGTCAAATTAGGAAATAATAGTCTTTTTCTCTCCTCACATCAGCAACATTCATGTCAGCGTAACCTGCAGCGACTCAGCACTGACACCTAGTGTCCAGACGCTGTTACGACACAGCACTCCCAGCCAATCGCTCAGCATCCTGAAGTTAGAGAAGGTAAATAAAACACCTCTTGTGCTGCTTGGATGCAGTTTTACTTCACTCCGAACTGAAACCTTCTTCAGGATCAGAATTATGAAACACATCAGTCTTTTTTAACATTAACAAGGAGGCAAAGGTTTGACGTGTTCACACAGTAATACCTTCCCACCTGTCACTCATCCTCTACTCATCCTCTGCAGCCGCCTCTCCTTGGCCATGGCCAGGGCCGACTCAGTGTTTTGGACTTTCCTGTAAATGTGGCAACAGCCGTCCAGAAAATGAAGTCCCACTTAGGTTTAAATCATGTCCGATTGGCTCTGGGTGCAGGAAAGACTCTCGGTGAGGAAACGCACACACGGTGCAAACTGTTTTATAAAACTTTCCTTAGCTGAAAAGATGCATTTTGATCTTCTGCTCTCTGTCGTATGCGTTTTATTTTAATTGTAGTAAAATATCTGCATGCATGTGAGCTTTCTAAAATAAACAGCACAACAAAAGTTCTGTACACTGATAAAAGAAAAGAGTAAAACAGCAGAATAAAAACATTTTTTTTAAATTTCTAAACAAAAATAAACAATAAAATATGTTAAAATAAAATAAAAACATTGCTGTAATGTTAAATGTGGGTGGGATATTTGTGTTTGTTGGTGTTTGTCAGAGTCGTCTGTGAGCTCCGTGGCTGTCTGTGCTGGATCTGGAGCCTCCGTGCTGTGTGATGTCAAAGCAGACCTCTACATCACTGGTAAATATGAAACTTAATGCGCGATATGTCTGTATTTTATATTTATAAGCCTGCGGTGTAATTAAATCCAATCTCTCAGGTGAAATGTCCCACCATGAGGTCCTGGATGCGGCAGCGAAGGGAACCAGCGTCATCCTCAGCGACCACAGTAACAGCGAGCGTGGTTTCCTGGCAGTGTTCAGAGAGAGGCTCGCTGTCCAACTTCCTGACAAGGTCTCTGTGCTCGTGTCGAAGGCAGACAGAGACCCTCTGGAGGTTGTCTGACGCACTCGGATTTGCACGGCTGTTTTGATCCTCGCCCTGGCGCTTTAATCTACTGATTGTAAAAACACGCTGTGATGAAAAGTGCTCTCTTGGTGGTTCTTTCCATGGGTTTGACAGAAGCTTACTAAAAATAGATTGCGTCTGATCAAAATAGATTGTACGCATGTTAAAGAAGACAATGTCATCAGCTTGCAAGTGAGAGCAGAAGGAGATTATCTGTTATTTAAATACGCAAGGGTTGACACGTAGTATGTTTTAATCCCAGCAGTCCGTGGGCTCAACCTTTCTGACAAATTTTCCTTCAAAACAAGTATTAACATGGAGCCCCAGGGTGAAAAGTAATCTTGATCAGATTAAAAAGCTTGTTTCATTATGAAGTAGGAAATCTCCTTTTTGCTGAAGGAACAGCCGGAGCTTTTACAGATTTGCATGAAATCTGCAAAGGTGACTGAGAATTTAAAGCCAAGTGACAATAAATTCCTATTCAATGACCTTTAGACCTCTGAGCAAACGCAGGTGGACATCAAACCCTTTAACACGTATGTGTCAAAGCGCGGGCTCACCGTAATCTCGGATGTGCTGCTACTGCCACTTCAGCTAACGGTGAAAGAAAAACAAAGATTACGGCCCTCGTTATTGACTTGTTGCTGCAGAGCCACGGCGCACCTGTTTGTTCGTAAAAGCATTAGGAGGCATCACACACCTCGCTGCTCCCATCAAGGTAGTCTCAGCATGGTGCTCGCACCTCCACTTCCCCTCGCTCCTCACCTACTTTTATCCCAACAACACAAATGGAGAAAGAAAACAACAACTAGGACAACATGTCAACCTCGCTCGTGTAAACCGACTCCAGCTGTCGCTGTTTTATGTTGGCGTGCAGCTAGGTATGGGGTCTGTTTGTTTTTCCCCTGCTTATCCTGCAGGGAGGCAGCAGGAAGTGTTACAGCTGCAAGTGTTCTGGTCATGTTTTAGTTGGCTCAGTCTAAAAGCTATCGGCTTTTTTGAAGACATGGATTACTGTAAGTGAAAAAGCAGCCAAAGTCCCAAAAAAACTGAACGATCTTTAGAAAACCAAACAAAACCACAGCACAAAGATTAAAATAAAGTTTATCCATGGAGGCAAAATATGAAGAGAAGAGAAATTGCTTTAAATGTTTAAACTTATTGTTTTTAGGAACTTTTTTGCAAATGCCCCGAGTGTTGCTTAACAAGCATACTTTTAATGCAGACAGAGAAAAAAAAGTTAAAGGAAAATAAAGTTTTATTGTTAAAGAACCAGGACAACCAAAACACTGAAGAAACACCTGAACACCTGGTGGAACGTCTCACAGCTAAAGGACAACACAGAGTGACCCAGACAGCAAGTAAAGACTCAAGCAGTTCATTAAAACTCCTCAATATCATCAAAGCTTAACTGAAGCTTAAAAAAAATCTCTGTCAATCGTAAAAAAACTCCCACAATGTTCGTAACCTGTATGCTCAGGTGGCGCTGCTTCATTGACTCGAGCATTTTCTGAAGCAATTTAAAGTCTCGTGATAATTATAACTTTACTATGCATGGATATAAAGATAAATGTGACATCCGGAACAGTTGCCTCCTCTTTGAGTTCATTTCTGCTGGTTTAAAGTGACGTGGAAACCTTCAGCAGCTGAGCTCATAACACATCTGGAACGACAAATGATGAAAACCATAAAGGGCAGATGTGGAGGACGGAATGTGACGAAACGAAATAATAAATGCATCATTTAATTATTAAATACATCATCAAATAATTAAATATACAAGTAAATTAATAAATACACCATTAAATAATGAAATGTACCTTCTAAATTATTTATTTCATGACTTATTTATTCATTTAGTTTTGTCACCTTCCGTCCTCCAGTGTTAACTGTCAGTCTCACTCGTCAAACTCAGTGGGCGGGACTAGAGCGGCTCATGAACAGACCCTGACGCCTGATTGGCTGCTTCTTACAGCAATCAAAGACAAACCGACCACAGGTAATCAATTGATCCACAGGCCAGAAAATATATTCCGAAACTTTAGGAAGTGGTAATTGTGTTTACATCCACAGACAGCACGCTAATATGATAATTAATGTTTAAAAGATGAACTCTTAACTAATATTTCTGCCTGTGATAGAGCAGCATGGCTCTACAGAGTCCCTCTTTCTCACACTGAAAACAAGATGGCATTCTGTTTTCAGGAAGATTTTACTTGACACTTGTTCTCAGTTCCCAAATGTTCACCATCATTGTATTTTCTGAAACGCCCGTAAGCTTACAGTTTCAAAAATCTAGGAATTTGTTGCACACCTTCACATTCTGTTTTACTGACTGTGCTTCAAAGTGGAAATAATACACAATAAATTATCTACCTGTATGAGAGGGCTAATTAACTGGCGGCCCGGGGGCCAAATCAGACCCACGAGCGAGCTCAACTCGGCCCACCAGTGGGTTCATTTTTAAATAAAACCAGATTTTAAACCATAAAACAAACTTATTGAACAACTTTAAATGCTGGACGTCCGACCCCTGAGCTCTTGGCTTTCAGTAACTGTGCCCCCCTGAGCAGTTTAATTGACGTAAGAAAAGCCCAAGAAGTTTATGTTAGTGACTAAACGGCTCCTGTGTTCAGGGCCTGCCCCCCTGCAGAGTTTAACAAGACTGCTAGGAGGAAGAAACATGTCAACAAGTCATCAGCCAGCCTCAGGGGGTCTGCCATTACTCTGGCTTTGTATTGTCCCAAATTTTATATATATATATATATATATATAAGAAATCACAGAAATTAAAGAAAGATTACCACAATCTATTTTTACAAATTGCTATTTTTTTGCTGAACGACTGAGAAATCAGATTTACCATACCATACCATACCAATTTATTTATATAGCACTTTAAACAGTGACAAAGCACACCAAAGTGCTGTACAGGGACAAACAGAACAAGCACATAGCAACAGATTACATAACAGGACACCAAAAATGTAGAAACCGACAAAAACAATAATGGATAACAACAACAACTGCAACATGACCAACACAGTGTGATGCACACAGACTCAGCACAGGTCACACAGTGCAGAAAGCCAGGGAATAAAAGTGTGTTTTTAAGCGAGATTTAAAAACTGTGAGGGAGGGGGCCTGTCTAACGAGCAGAGGTAACTCATTCCAAAGTTTTGGGCCTGCTACAGAGAAGGCCCTGTCACCTCTGCGCTTGAGGCGGGTTCCTGGGACTGTTAGGAGCAACTGGTCTGCTGATCTGAGAGATTTAATTGTGTCTAGTGAATTTACTGGAACCTGTTCTTCATGGTGTGTAAAGTATTTGTAAAGTGCGTTTGAAAAGCTTTTACAGATGTGGTTAGTGAGATGGATCACATAATAACTAGACTGGATTAAAATATGTATGCAGAACTTAACTCCGTGTAAAATTTTGTGAAAACAGTTGAAATGGAACAACTATGCATTTGTTTTCCTAATTGTAGGGAAAGCAATAAAAAGACAACAATAAAGTGAGACGGCACATGACTGAAAAAACGTCATCTGGATCCAGACTGAGGTTTGGATCAACACAGAAAAATAATTTCAAATACAAAAATATGTTCCGAGTGTGGTCTTAACACTTTAAAATGCAAACTTTTGATAAGCTTTTCAATAGTCAAATCAAATTTATTTATGAAGCACGTTTAATGCTGCAGCTGTTACCAAAATGTTTAACAATAAAAATAATTTTTCTGTAATTTAAAGAGAAAAAGAACAAATTAATTAAAAGCATGAAAAGAAAAACATATAAAATACTAAATCAAATCACACTGTGTTAAATGTCAGTGGAAACAGGTGTGTTTTTAGATGAGATTTAAAAGCAAGAAGTGAAGTGGCCTGTCTAATGTGCAGATTGTTCCAGAGTTTAGGGCCCACAACTGAAAAAGCCCGATCTCCTCTGAGCTTCAACCTGGTTTATGGTACAACCAAAAGCAGCTGATCGGCGCCTGAGAAGGAACATAAGGTTGAAATAGGTCAGAGAGATATGAGGGTGCATGGCCATTTATGCTCTTAAAGGTTAGCAGGAGAATTTTAAAATCTATTCTGATACGTACAGGGAGCCAGTGAAGGGAGGACAAAACTGGTGAAATATGCTCAAACCTACGAGTTCCAATTAAGAGCTGAGCTGCAGCATTTTGGATGAGCTGGAGACGTGAATGTGAGACCTGACTGATCCCAACATAAAGTGCGTTACAGTAATCAAGTCGGGTTGTAACGAATGCATGGACTATTTTTTCAAGGTCAGATCTGGTCAACACAGACATAAGCTGAGCTTTCTGCCTTAACTGTAAGAAACTTTTCCGTAGAACAGAGTTATCTGTTTATTAAACTTAAAGTCAGAGTCTAAAACCATCCAGAGATTTGCGACAGACTGCTTAAGACACGGCTCAAGGGAGTCAAAGTTAACAGGAACAGAGACGGAGCTGCTAAACACGACTACAGTTTTCAGATCGTTGAAACTTAAAAAATTTGAAGCCATCCATGATGTCATCAAGACATTTTAACCGAGGTCTGCACATTTAAACATCAATAATCTGATTGTATACCTTTCATAGTAAAAATATACAACGGAAGCCTAAATGACCCAAAATAATCATAAATAAATGTTAACTTCTTCAGTATCTCATTTTAGACTCAAAAGATGCGTTTGAATTTTTTCAGTCGCTTCCATTATGATCATTAAAGGCCCGTCTGTGTGTTTATTTGTCGTGTTAGCAGATATCTTATGAACTACTGCATGAATTTTAATGAACCTCACAAAGGTTTGTCAGTGGGTGCACATCTGCAGCAACCTAATTCAAGATGGCCACCACAACAAAGCAACATTTCAAACACAGACAAGACTTTAACTCAGTCAGATTTACAGATATTGAGCTTGTATCTAAACTTAATCCCCATTTTATACTTGAATGCTAACCAAATGTGTGAGATTTGTGTTTAAAACTATTGGCGTCAACTCTGTCTGTTAGCAAAATATCTCATGAACCACTCTCAAAATTAAATTACTGGATGCAAATCTACTACAGATTAACTCTTGGAGTCGACCCAATTTAAGATGGCCGCCACAGTTATGTAATCTCAACAAACTAAAATGGGTGGAACTCCACAAATGTAATTATATTGTTGTGTAGAAAATATTATTTTCGAGGTTTGACCAAAATGGCTAGGACTCCATATTTCTCAATACAAGATGACCTTAGTTTAAACCTCTGCTTTGAAAGGCGGCGGGCGAGATGCTCGGTTTTGAATCCTTGTGTTTGTTGAGCAGCGACAGGAGGAAAGTTGAGGGGACTGGGAGGACAGACGGGGAGACAAATGAGGTGCTCAAAGTGAAAATGGGACCATTTGGCCCAAGGTGTGAAGTCTTCCTCACCTATTTAACAGAACAGTTCGGCACTTTCGGCTCTGAAAGAGACGGAGGCGACAAGAGGAGCGCCCACAGAATCAGAAGACAACTTCACCGTCTTCCACTGAGCAACGTTTTTTTTTTTTTTATATAAAAACAAAGAGACTGGACGGGGATGCAGAAAAACAATGTCTCTCTGAAATAGCTGATAAGTTAAAGAATAAAAGCAGAATGTTGGGTGTGGAGACGTTCTCCGGTTTAACTGTGGGACCTCAAAGGACTGGAGACTGTCTTTGCAGAGGTAAGAACAAAAACTAGTCCTGTTGTGAATTCTACGTATTCCACTCATTTTGGTCATGTCTTCAGACAGAGAGGCTCCTGCGCGTTTACCACTGTTCCCTTCAACTTGTGACGTGGCCCCGAGGCTCCTGGCCCCTTCAGTCCCTAATGATGTGGTCTCCAAACCCCAGAACGATGAGGTGAAGCTGGAGCTGGAGAATTCGTCTCTGTGGAAGCAGTTCAGCTCTGTGGGCACAGAGATGATCATAACGAAGAAGGGCAGGTTGGAGCAGTTAGAACCTTGAAGGAGCTCAAACCATAAAACACAAACGCAGCCATCATTTTTATCCTGTACTTCACAGACGGATGTTTCCCGGCTTGAAGCTGAAGCTGTCGGGTTTAAGCCCATCTCTCCGCTACATCCTCCTCCTTGACATCGTTCCAGTGGACAACTCCCGCTACCGTTTCCAAAGTGGAGGCTGGCAGGCCGTCGGCAGCGCTGAGGCGAGGTTACCAGACCGGGTGTTCATCCACCCTGACTCACCTGCCACAGGAGCACACTGGCAGAGCCGCAGCGTCTCCTTTCACTACGCCAAGCTCACCAACAACACACTGGACACGCAGGGGCATGTGAGCGCCGCAGATTTACAGCATTTGTTTGTAGCCGTTTGTCTTTGTGGATCATTTTCAATGCTTTTTTTGTTTGTTTGTGTGTGTTATTCTTCCAGATCATCCTGCACTCGCTGCATCGCTACCAGCCCAGAGTTCATGTGATTGAAGCCAGAGATGTAACGAGATGGAGCAGAGAACAGCACACCTTTGTTTTCCCTGAAACCCAGTTCATCACAGTCACTGCGTACCAGAACAGCAAGGTTTAACTTCTCAAACAGCACGCGTTCTTCATAAGAGACTATAAGAAGTAAAAAAAAAGAAGGAGAAGAAACTACCTGTGCATTGTTTCTTGTTTTTTAGATCACAGAGCTCAAGATCAACTCCAACCCTTTTGCTAAAGGCTTTCGAGACGACGGCATGAACAGCAAAAAGTAATTCTCGTCAAAAATCGAGATCGGCATTTTGATTGCCACATTTTAGGAATGAGCTACACAATTATTTTGTTTTAACCTTTGCAGAAAACGAGATGCAAGACAGAAACGCAAAATGACCGTGCTGACAGAAACCTTAGACACTGGTGTGTATGATAAACAACAAGATGTATAATTTTAACTTAAACTGTTAGAGTCAGCTCATTCTGACAAGCGTCCGTTCTTCTTTCTCGTTCAGTTCACTGTGATCGCTGTGACTCTCCTGAGCCTGGATCCAGCAGCACAGACCTGCAGGCTCTCACCTCTCTGCCTCCACTGACTGAATCTTCCTGTGGCTTCACATCAGAGGGGGCCTCCTATCAAGTCCCAGAGCAGAGCGTAGACCTCAGTCAGGGATTCATCACCACCCAGATGTCAGACATCAGCATCCCGGTGACCAACGAGATGCAGGAGCCTCAGGGGAGTGAAGCAGCAGACAGTATGATTGAAGGGTACGTGTGCAGAATTTTTATTTCATTACTTGAGTAATAAAGAGTAGAGCAGTAGCAGAGATTCTAGTAAACAGATGACCAGTATTTATAAAGATTGAGGTTTTGCAGCTGTTGAGCCCTTTTTGTTGCACACTTTTAGTTTTATATTCACTCTTCTGGCAAAAAGCATGTTTTTAGTTGCAGTAACTCTTTAGCTGTTGTTTAGAAGGCTTGTGTTAAAGTTTGAGGACATGCCAACCCCTCAGTTTGTGTCACTTTTGGTAGCTGTTTATCATCATTTGAATCAGTTTGTGTGTATATGACCATTTTTACAGGTGCTGTTGTAAACTTTGCAGAAACATTTGAGCAGTTTGCCACTAAAATGTGTTAATTTCACTGGTTGCAACACAAGCTCGAAGGATGACTATTCATTAATGAAATTCTAGAAATGTTTTTGCAACGGTCCAGTGTGTTTTAATTTTAAATGCCGCTCTTTTATGTTTTTCATTCTGACGTTGTATTGGTCGACTGGTTTTATCCTAAACTTAATGGGTTTTGGACTATGATTGTGACTTAGATTCAGTAAATGATAGTAAACATAATCTTATTTTTACTATCAGAAAAATTAACTCGCTCGTGTTTGTGGGCTAATGTGAAGCTATGTTCCTAAGGTACATGGTTAGCTTAGCATGAGGCCTGACGGTGAAGGTCAAAGGTCACAAAAACTAACTTTACAGCAACTCAGAACTTTTATAGTCATATTGTATGAATTATTGTGAGCTTTTTGTCCAAGAGCATGAAGAACTTTAATTTTTATATGGGAAAAAAAAAACATTTTTAGATAATTGTTTTACTCTTCAACTCTTCAGAGGTCTCAGTTAAAATCGAAGCCACATCGATGACTATGTTTGAACACTGTGCACATAAACAGTACCAAATGCACGTGTAGTACACTCTCCTGCAGTTAACTGGAGCTTTTAAGAGTACTTGTACTATTATTTAGCAGATTTAATCATTTAAGTATTTAAGCAGAGCAAACTGTGTTTGAAGATATTATGTTTTTATTTAAACAACTGATTACTTGACTGTTTCAGCATTAACAAAATGATGAATCGACAAAAATCTTCCCTAACTGCTTGAATAAGATACAGCTGGAGAAAATTATTTAATAACCAAGACGTGCAGCTCTCTTTTATTCCCGGATCACAACAGCTTGAAGGCCTGAGAATCTGCTTCAAACTAAAACTTGTATTTTCTTCGCAGGTCTGACGTGATGACCGCAGCAACGTTTGAGTCGGACTTTGCTGCTCAGTCCAGCTCCTCCTCTTTCCTCTCGGCTCCTCTTCCTCCATCCTCCTCCTCTTTCTCCTCAGACTCAGCCCATCCTCATCCTTCCTTCCCTCCTGTCGACTACCCCTCCCTTCTCCCCGCCACCCCCTCCCTGCAGCAAAGCTCCTTCACCTTCCCCACACCACCTCCTTCAGACTCTTCCTCCCCACATCTCTTGTCCTCCTCCCCCTCCAACGCCTACAACACCCTCTCAGAGACCCCCCACGCTCCTGCCTCTTTCCGTGCTCCCCCCAACGCATGCCGATCAAACCTGCATCCATCAGCTGGTTCTCACACCCAGCACAGCCAGCTGCTGCAAGATGAAGCTGCTTCTTCAGCAGCTTTTATTTACCCGAACGTCCTTCAGATGAATCCAGATCCTGCTGCAGGCACCACCCAGACCTTCGTCAATCAGCACCAACCACACTCTGCAGTTAACAGTTCTTCCAGCTTTTGTACTTTTCCACCTGTTGCCCAACAAATGCAAACTCTCTCTTTACCGAGTGCGTCTCCCAGTCCTGCTCTGAGCCTCCCAACTTCAGCTCCTTGTCTTCCTCCTTCCTCTTTTCCTCACTCTTCCTTCCAACCCTCCTCTTGCTTGGCCGTCACTTCCGCTGCCCATCAAAACATCCCGAGTCCCTCGACTTCCTCCTACACCTGCTCGTACCCTCCAGTTGAAATCGGCGCCATCCCCCACCTCAGTCCTGCTGGACCGTACCGCCCGAATCTTCTCCCTCAGTTGGATCAATCCCTTCGCTCCTCCACCTTTCCATCATACCCTCTTCACCTGCGTCAGGGTCCTCACGCGTCCCTCTCTAACCCCTTCAGCCATCTATACAGACAACCCCAGCACCCCCACTCCCAGAGGCCCTACATGCCCACAAGAACAATGTTTTAAATTATTATTTTAATGGGTTTTTTCATGGTGCTTTAGTGGAAAGTAACATTATATAAAGTTAGATAAAGAAATGTGTTCTTTTTGTGAATGCGTGTGTCCCTTTATTAATTCATCTTGATAAAATTATTCTTGATGTGTATATACTTTGAAGATTTTTGCTTTTTCATTCATTTTTCATTCATTCCAGTGTGAGAAATAAAAATCTGCTGCTGAAGTAACTTTTGTGTTTTAGCGTTTTGTTTAGTTTTTCCGTTGGAAAACTCAGAAAAGCTTTAGTATAAAAGTTGCTCATTTACCCAGAAACAAACGAGGAACAAATCGAGAACAAGGTGCAACCTGTTCATGTTTACCTCCACATCACATTTTAATAGTTGTAATTAGCTAATTGTTTGTAATTGTCTTTATAAAACGAGTGAGAAACAAATTGAAGCCAAATAAATGATCAATCTTTTTTTAATTACTTCCTGTCACAGTTTTGAAGGTTAGAACTCAGGAGCTGGAGCAAAAACTAATTTATAAATTCTAATTAATTTATGAAATAAATAAAACAACCGAGCTGGTGTGGCAGCAAACTACTTACAACAAAACCTTAGAAACACATGGAGGGGAGGACAAAGGTGACCTGGACATGGTGTAAGTACACACATTGGCAAACTGATGATAGAGTAGATACAGAGGGAATAAATGGACTGAGGCTGATAGGAGACAGCTGGGTTTATCGAGACAGAGCATGGCAGGACTGAGGAGCAGGGTCCGGACAGTGGAAAAGTACTGGCAAAAATGAACTTCTGGCACCAGGAAGGAATAGAAACAAAACAATAAAAGTGCTGAAAACAAACCAAAACAGAATAACCCCAACAATAAAACACACAAAAAATGACCAGAAGGTAATTCAAGAACTGACACAGGGTTTGCTGGACTACAATGGACTTAAAGAATCCATGGACTCATTGGTCAGCAGTCAAATGCTCTATACTGTGATTTATTACCCTTATATAAATATTTAACATATTTGCTAATGTTCTTTTTTTCTTTAACTTGCAGGCTGTAATTATCTGTAGATTTTTTAAAAAGTTACAAGAAATGCCTCCTTTTTTGGGAACATTTGTGCACACCGTGGATAACTTTAAGAATAATCATAAAGTTCATGCTCAATCATCCAGGTAGAAAATCCAGCAATGTTCAGTCTGGTTCTCTGGATGGTTTCTTTTTTTGTTGAGGCATTTCTTCCTTCATCCAAAGCACTTCATCCATCTGAGGAGCCACCAAACAAACTGAGTTCCACAAACAGCACACCCACATACTTGATGAAGTCCTTTGGATGAAGGTCGAAACATCTCAACAAAAAAAAAAAACATCAAGATGACCCGACTGAACTTTGTTGGAACCATAAAGATAGTCAAGACAAACAATACATTTCTTGCTTGTAGTCCTGTAACTTAAACTTTGGCTTTTGTCCTAGTTTGTTGTTTGTAAGAAATGGAAACTAATAATTACCATAAACCCCCATAAATGAGCAGCAGATTGTGAAACCTCCATGTTGTGCTTTTAAAAGTTTAAACTTAGATTTCACAGGTGAATTTAGCAGAGAGCGTGTTTGAACTGGAGACCTCTACAATCAAATGCTCCACCACTGTACCACTAAGTTATGCTGCCCTTACACTATGTTAATATTTAACACCCCCCCCCCCCCATGATTATTTGTAAGCAGCAGTTTTTTGTAGACAGAAAAAACCCACTGCTTAATATCTTGTAAATAAAACATGCATTTTTTTTTGTCTTGGTTTGCAAAGCAATCAATGCTCATCATTTAACTCTACAAGCAGAAGACCATGAAATTAACATTCAGCAAATAATTTTTATATAACAGTTGATTGTGTGCAATCAGGGGGCTTGGGGTTATTAGAACAAAGTTTTAATAATAAATGCATGTGTCTAGAAGCAAAAGGTCATGAAACAAATCTTCCATGTTGGTTTTACTACGTCCAAAACTAATATTTCTGCCCCCAACGATTTGTAGTTTTCAATCTTCATCAAACTTCTAACTTTGCAACAAACTACTCTTGTTGTGGTTTTGATATTGATCAGATACATTGATTGACTGAGTCAATAAAATAAACAAATACAAAGTAAATTATTGTATCTTAAACAATGTTTTTCCTTTTTTTTTTTTTACACTTAGATTGTCAGGTTAGATTTACCAAAAAAAACAAAACGTAAAATTTTTGACAAGGATCCAACGATGGCATTAAAAACATGCGACACAATTCATTCAACCTTTATTTAAACAGGTTAGTCCCACTGAGCCTCGAGGACTCATTTACAAGAGAGACCTGATTTTAACAAAGAGTGATGACAACAGTAGACAACAAAGACAATAATAGACAATCATAAAGGATGTGTACAAATTGAAAATTTATTTTTAACAAGTGAAAATAAAATGGCAATTAAAAGGAAAAGTAGCAAAAACAGCAAGATTATAAGGCGGTGTAGAAAACTAAAAACAAGGACATGTCTGCACTGGTTTTTCCCAGGAACTTAACAGGAGCAATTAACAATTCCAGGAAACAGGAGCGGGGTAGGAGAAGGCCCCTTTGCCTAGTTCAGTTCTCACTGAGGGAACACTGCAGGTAATGATGTCCTGAGAGCGCACGCTGTAGCTGCACTCACGCAGAGACATGTAGGAGGAGATGTATGAAGGCAGCAGACCAAGAAGTGATTTAAAGATGAAAATGTACCAGTGGGAGAGTCTGTGTGAAGTTAATGATGTCCAGTTAACCAGTGAATACAGGGTGCAATGGTGGATACGGTAGTTACAGCCAATTATGAATCTTAGTGCACCATGATAGACAGCATCCAACATCTGCAAGGTTCTTGTAGGAGCGTTCATGTAAATAATGTCACCGTAGTCAATGGAGGGAAGGAAGGTCACAGATACAAGGTGTTTCCTAGCATTCAGGGTTAGACAGGATCTGTTTCTGAAAAAGAAACCCAATTTAACTTTCAGTTTCTTTACTAGGTTTTCCACATGGAGTTTAAAAGAGAGATGTGAGTCGACCAAGATACCCAAATATTTATAGGAATCAACAAACTCAATAGGGACACTATTCGAAAATAAAATCAGACGAAGAGCTGATGTGACAATTTCCTGTTTGAAAAAGCATCCCTTTGGTTTTGTCAGCATTTAGGACAAGTTTGAGACGGAACAAATCTGACTGGATGATGTCGAAAGCAGATTGCAAAAGCTGGAGAGCCTTAGCAACTGTTTTATCTCAACAATAAACAACTGTATCATCAGCATAGAAATGTATGGATGCATCAGGAATGAAGTGACCTACATTACCTTTGTAGATTATAAAGAGGGTGGGTCCTAAGACTGAGCCTTGTGGTACACCATTGTTGACTGTTAAATAACTGGAGGAAATACCATTATGTTGAACACATTGCCTCCGATTTGAAAGATAATTAGAGAACCAACCAATGGTGTGATCTGAGAAACTAATTTCTGAGAGTTTATGATGTAAGATGTCATGATCCACAGTGGTTCTATCAGTGTGAGAAAAACCTGTATGAAGATTGATTTCACATAAAACTCACACTGAAATTTGCAGTAAGCAGCTGTGAATCTGAAGCTTGTTGGCCCTGCAGCTCCACTGGGTTCTCCTCAGAAGAAGAGAATAAACCCACTGAATCAGGATGAAAGGAGCAGAAACAAACTGGAAAAGTGCTTCAGCTCCTCCCCACACAGAGTGGAGAGGTCACAGCTGGTTTGTCTGGAAGATAAAAGTTCACACTGTTGGGGCCTCAGTGTAATCGATATTTCTGAGCGCTGTCTTTCTAATATAACCGAGATATCAGCAGCTTTTGAGGAGTTTCGGATCAAAGATAATCATCAGTAATTGCTCTTATGCTTGTTTTTCTCATCTTTTACGAAAACCCATATTGATCTTGCTGATTTATAGTTTAAATGTTTTTTTGTTTTATAGCTCCCTGTTGTTGTATAGCTGTTTTATAGTTTTATAGCTCTTTGTTGCAGCTGTGATTGCTTTTAAAGTGCTTCATACAGTAATTAAAATTCTATTAGTAATTAAAAATATTCTTGCAGACTCAGTTTGACAAGTTTACACATAAATGATATTTGTGCACGTCTGAGCCCGGCACGTCCAATGGACTGACGTAAAGTGAAGGTTTGTGAGTTGATGTTAAGGGTCAACTGGGTGTTTACCTAAATTTCCCAACAGTCACTGATTAACCAGTGAGTCCTGCGCTCAAAATCCAAAAAAACGGCATCTCTGTTTCACCATTTACGCGCTTTTGGTTGCATTCGTAGGATGTAGGGTAAGGCCTTCTCAAATATTCTTCTCTTGAACTCTTGCACTTGGGATTTAATTTTCTGCCAACACAGAGGAGGTTTTCGTTTGTTTGACATTTTTGCAAGATGATGCAAAAATTGTTGCGCCAAATATCACAAGTTTTGGTTAAAACGCGGAGCATGTGTGCAGTTTTTCAGCAGTTTTGCACAATTTTTGATGAAACTGTAACAGATCTCAGGTTTAATGGGGCATGTGTCTTTTGAGAGCCTCTTTAGCAACTTTTTGACTTGTGTAAAGTAACTACTCCTCTGGATGCTTCGTCTGTTCTGGGCAAATAACTGAAGGAGTTTTTCTTCCAACAGGTTTCAGACTGAGTACTTTACACACTCCAACACCCTCAAAAAACACGTTTTATACAAGCATTCATAAGATCTGAATATTAATTGAGGAAAATAAAAATGTTTGCTCCTCCTGGGAGGATGCTGTTCTCCAACACACGTCCTTCACTCCCTCACCTCTTGTCGCTGAGGCTTCTGGGTACTGCGGCCTCCAGGTCGACAGCGGTGAAGCAGAATGAGCTTCTTTCCAGGGCGCTGACCTTTGAGGATCCCAGCGCCTTCCGGGCAAAGAGTTGGGCTGAACTGATTCGTGCTCTTGGAGTCTTCCGTCTTTGCTCCTTCCCTGTTCTGGTGAACAACTGTGGAAAGGTGAGTCTAAGGTTTGTCTTCAGTGATGATTAAAAAAAAAAAAAAGCTATGTAATTATCTTACTAATGCAAGAAGCTCTTGAAGACACAGATCATGTTGTCTTTTCGTCTGACCTCTTCACTTTCTTTCCATGTTTTCAGCTGATGTCAGTAGCACGAACACTCCTAGGTAAGAGGGGCTTTTCTTTGTTACTGAGGCCCACAGTTTATGCCCAGTTTGTTGCTGGAGAAAATGAGATGGAAATCTCCCAGTCCATGAAGAAGATGAGCTTGCTTGGATTGAGGCCGATGCTGGCTGTGCCCATTGAGGAGGACGTTGGGGAGAGCATCAGGTACTCCCCAGTTTCTGATCTGTAAATTTAGCTTTGAATTTATTCACGTGAACGAGACTTCATTGAACACTGTTAATTAAATGACAATAAAAAAATAAAAAGACACAACTGAATTTATAGTAAATAGAAAACTAACAGCCATGCAGATCTCTTAGGGAAAAAAAAAGTTTTCCATCTTCCTCTGAAATTCTCAAAAATCCACGCATTTCATTTAAATCTCCTGATTTTTTCGAAGCATATTAGAGCTTCCATTCTAATCCTGGCCACGTTTTGTGTTTGCTCATCATCAACAGAGAAAAACGATACGACGACAACACGGAGGCCATGTTGGAGTGTGTGAGGTTATCCCACTGCAACACCTGGAGCAGAGACCCGATGATGCAGCTGAAGATCACGGCCCTGCTCAGCCCAGAGCTGTGTGTAAGGATTTTATACTGCAAAAATATGTTCACTTTCACAAAGTATTTATCAGCAGAGGGACTGGATTTCTCTGGGAATCCCAGTGATGTCGCACACATTTTGTGCAACTTTCCCGCACCTTCACAAATATCAGTGTGCAAATATTAGTGCATGGGGGAAAAGATAAGAATACACATTTTAGTGTTTGCGTTGTCAAAGCTGCTGCTGACTGCTCAGCAGCATATTCCCCCACATATATCCCCAATGTCTGTCATTTGATCCATTGACTGCTTTACCTGTAATGAGAATAAACTGCTTGTGTCAAAAGGTGAAACTCACAACTCTCATTGCACAACAACCATATGATCTGAGTCTCCTTGTCAAGGCAATGGACGGAGAAGTAGGTCCAAACCCACAAAAGTTTTAATCATATGTACAATACTGACAAATGTGATGTTAAACAATTTGTTTTATGTCTTGCAGATGATAACGTTCCCTGGTTTAGAGGAGAAGGAGAACATCCATTTCTTGTGTGGTTTGAAGAGACTCAACAAAATAGCAGAGGTACAGAGGTTAATCACGTGCACGTTGACTGTTCTTTTTGTATTTTATGCACATTATTTTAAACATTTGCTCCAAACTGTATGGGATGTCATTTTGGCCATTATTATAAATGAATAAATAAACCAACAATACAAACAAAAATGCTTTAATATAAAATCCTGAAATAAAAAAATGCAATAATGTCCTTTTATTATAAATAAATAATTATTTGAAGAATAATAACGCCACAGTTTTTACATGTTTTTATTTTATTCTTTTGTTTCAGTTTGTTTGTAGTGCCAATTTTACAACAAAAGCTATTTCAGTGCACTTTAGAAAATAGACAACAGGTTAATGAAAAGCTGCATTCAGTATATGTCAATATATGATAAACAGTAATTAAATTCAAGCTATTTATTATTCAGTTAATTTAAATGATTTCTTAAACAATTACATTACAAAACAAACAAAAAATATTCAGTCCGATTTAATCTGGAAATAATCTTATTCCCATTCAAAACAACTCAAGTGACTTTAAAAAAAACAAGAATTTCAATTTATATAAATATGCTGTAAATGGCTGCACAGCAAATAAACTAAACTGAATAGAGTGATTTATGAGTTTATATAGTGAACAGTTTTATAAACGTGTTCAATAACATTATAATTTAAACATCTTATATTTAAACTAAATGCTTCACAAAATCTCTCCAAACAATATCTTATTTTTCTTGTAATAACTGTGACCTGATTGGTGCAAACTTATAATAAGATGTTGTTTTTTAGGCAAGTGTGAACAAAGTTAGAGTCTTGGTGGATGCAGAGTACACCTACATGAACGCAGCACTCTCTCTTGTTACCATGGCGATGATGAAGAAGTTCAACAAAGATGGTGCCTGGATCTGGAACACATATCAGTGTTATCTAAAGGCATTTACCTTTGAAATTTCTTTTTGAAGTTTGACAGTTATCTGAACATATTCTGTTATTTGCACTGAATATTGATATTCACAGTCCGTCGGTCTTCTCAGGAGTCCAGGTCTCTCCTGTTAGAGGCTCTGCATCTGTCTGCGAGGGAGGGTTTCTGTTTGGGAGTTAAACTGGTCCGAGGAGCCTACATGGACAAAGAGAGAAAGATGGCAGAGAAGGAAGGCCGTGCGGATCCCATCCATAAGAGCTGGGAGGACACAAATTACAGGTCAGAGGGATGCACGTTTTTAATGACATAAACATCCACTGCATCCCAGTCACAAAAACATTGATATTAATTAAATCTAGCACAAAAAGTAAGTATCTGTTTGCATTACGAGGTAGTGGTTGCTGCGTATTGTAGAATGTTTTAATACTTTCAGCGAGCTAATACTTGCAAAGTGTTGGAAACAAATGTCAGATCAAGTACTGCTTCTGTATTTTGAGCACAATTATATTGTGTTCCTTCCCCACTATTAATACACACCAAACCATTAAAATCTATATAATCTTCAACTACTTCACCATCTATGTTGGTTTTATCACTTCCTCATAAAGAATTATGTGAATTAAAATCCTCACATCTTATTACTTTGCCTGTCGGTGATCACTTGATGTTACACTTTGTCTTAACCTTTCACACAGAATATAAAAGTTGATCATATCTATACTTCCTCTATTGGTCTATTAGTCTTATTGATTCTTGCTGTGAGCTTTAAAACAAAGTCTAACTGTGGTTTCATCTAGGTCTCTTGTCGACATATGATGCTAACTTTTTCTCTTAACTTATCAATATACTCCTTAAATTATTGTCCATTTACCAGTAAACTTCTTGCATTCTATTGGAATAATTTCAGGATTATTGAGAGCATTCAGTTAAATTTTGAGAGGAGTGTGACAGGTCATCAGGTGTGTTTTTAATTATTTCCCAGTGCAGCTCATATTAATTCAAGAACTTCTCAGCAGATCTAATTCTAATCTTTATTCTTTCATTTTGGCTTCTTGATTGAGCAGTTGACTATCATAAAACAATACAAAATCATTTTTACTAACAATCATAGTTTCTTTCTTTAACACATCCTTCACATTTACTAGATTCATTGGTTGTAGTTTTATTTTGTCCGGTCACCTTTAAAGGTTTCTGGAACCTTCTTAATAGCCTCTTCATAGCTTACTCCTGTCGTAACCTTGACTCTCTGCTGCCCCTTTCCTGTCGTTACATCCTCTTTATGCTGAGCTGTGTTCGCCACCACAATTACAACATTTCACCTTTGCCCTTTACTCACATTTTTCATATTCATGTTCTCCACTGCACCTTCCACACCTTTGCTTTTCTTTACATTCTGCTGCAACATGTCCAAATCTTTGAAGCATCTTCTCCAACACTATCGCCATCATCTCATTTATTATTTTGATTCGTCTTTCACTTGGTTTTAAGAACAATATCCCATTCTTTAAATCTCCCGCCACTTATTTCCATACCGCCTAGTTCGCTTCCTGATCCATCCTTTCCTTCTGCCATCTCCAACTCTGTCGTTCTGCCAAAAAACAACTTATTCTGCAATTGATTCCTCTTTGGTACATCGGGTGCTGACTGATATCAGGCTCCTGATTGGTGTCTAATTGTCAGCACCAGTGAGCAACCAGTAGCAAACTCATGACATACAGTCTGGGATTGAACTCTATCTTTCAAGTTGACAACACCCGCTTTGACAGAATAGCGTTTGTCGGAAACTACCTCCAGAATTTGGGAGTGGAGAGGATGGCGTCCTGACCCCACTGAACACCTATGGAAACAGCTTACATATCCTCGTCGTTTTAAAGTGACCAAACACAACCACAATGGCTGACTTGCAACAACTGCTGGTTGAAGAATGTAACTCCACTTCACAGTAGTTTGTGGCACGTAAGGTGCCAGGCTGTCATGGCTGTGTATGGTTCTTCCACATGCTATTGAGGCCCCCGTTTCTTAATTAACTAAATTGTTAAATTCTCAATTTGTCTTGTTTCTTCAGACATCAATCATCTAATTCAATAAACGCCAAACAAGCATCAGTAGCAGAATAAGCAGTTAATGGCCTCAACATACTCAACTCTGTGCTCCACCCATCAATTAATTTTCCTAACAGACATGACATAATTTAAGGTAAAATAAATAGACTTTCTAATGATGTAAGATTTACGGCAAAACAATCATTATTACAACAACAACCAAAATAATTAACCAAACACAAATGTTCTTACTTTTTGTGCCAAATCTATATTAACAGTCTTAATTCTTACTACTGCAATTAAGTCCATACAAAACCTCAAGTAACCTCAGATATGAAACCGTTTTAAGTATATTCAATATGTGACTGTAAACAGATTTTAACACAGTAAACTTCTTGACGAGTCTGGCAATTTGTGACAGAGAGCATGTTTTGTCCTCTTGTGTTTACAGCTATAACGGCGCCCTGGATGTGATGCTGGACGTCATATCACAAAAACCCGAGCGCTACCGGATCATAGTGGCCACTCATAACGAGGAGTCAGTTCGAAGAGCCGCCAAACGGTTGGAACAGGCTCTTCAAAGGACAAATTCATTGTTAAACAAAATAATTCTACACTTTAGAGCTAAAATCTCTTTTACAAAAGTGCTGTGGACAGTAGCTTAAAAGGAAAAAAAAAATTACACAAGAGCTATACAGTTCACAAAATAAAAAGTGGAGCCAACACATCAGATGAAACCAACAATTCCAATAAGACGGTATCAGACTAATGACTATTTAAGCAGTCATCATGAGCAATAGCATCAGTTTCAGCATTTCTGTTTGTGTATCTGAATAATTCAAAACTAGTGTAAATTCGGTCCTGTGATGGACTTGCAACCTGTCCAGGGTGTACCCTGCCGTGCAGTGACTGCTGGACATGGGCACCAGTGACCCTCACAACCCGAAAAGGAAGAAGATAATGCATGGATGGATGAATGAATAAATCTCAGAGCTTCGTGGTAGATTGAGAGAATGTGAGGAAAAGAAAAAGGCATATACTGCAAATTACATCAAAATAAAATCCAGTTAGAACATAAAAGCAGCATAGTTAAGATCCTAAAGAAAGACAGGAGTTTATTCTGATAAAGACAAGTTTTAACTTGATTTTTTTCATTGTACCTATTGTTGAATGTGATACTTAAGAAGACATACAGTAAATCTTTGATCAGAACTCTTAAATATTAATACGGAGATACCTCAAATCTCATCCTGAAGAGTGTTGACAGAAGGTGTTTGGGCCTGGATGCTCAAATGAACCATGAGTTGTTTTTAATGCATCATCACTGTATCATCAGCATAATAAAGTCATTGATGCCATGAAGTGCCCCAAATAGACCAACAAGCCTATTTAGGGTCAACTAAACTAAAACTGTGCTGTCTCATATTTATACTTTTAGCTCAAAGCATAGATTTTACAATTAGATTGTTAAAATTTCCTTTGTTTACATTTTTGGTGGTTTATAAATGGACGAGGGTCATAAATGCTTATGTTCAAGGGAGATCACCTTATGCTTCGTCTAAATCTTTGTTGTCACCAATTCATTACAAATCCAACATGACTAACTCAGATGTGGCAATTTGATTTTCCAAAGGGCAACATCAAGACATTTAAAGCAATCAAAGGACCACATAGAGAATTGTAACATACATTTTCTTTATGACTGATAATCCAGAATATCTTTTTTCAGACTTTTTCTTATTGTTGCATGCATTGTTAGCATGCTTTATAAAACAAGTCTTTCCCTTATATTTTAGGAAACTAAGACATGTAAACTGGCTCTTGTGACAATATATTACACACGTTAGCTTAACGTGTTTTACAAAGTACATGTCATTGGAAATATGCAAAACAAACTTATGTGTTTGTGTTTCCAAGTCTTTAAGGTTCAGTCTAGTTCTGGAAACAAAAAGACTTTAAAAAAAGTATGCGTAACATGTTTAGTTTACATTTCCTTAAGTCTCAAAACTTGAGTCTTAAGTCTGGTTGATAATATGCTGTTTTTTTTTAATCATTCTGTTTTTTTGTAAAAGTTCTTTATTTTTTTAACTAAGGATATTGTGGGCTGGATGGAGATTGCCCAAGGGCCACTTTTGGCCCTCGGGCCTTAAGTTGACCACATCTGCTCTAAACCTCACAGCCCATAGTTGGTGGGTCTTGAGCTGTGGGTTGGGCACTACAATCATTCCAGTAAATGTTATGTCTTTAACCTGCAGGATGGAGGAGCTGGGCATAGAAAAGAATGGCGGATCGGTGTGTTTTGGTCAGCTGTTGGGCATGTGTGATCACGTCTCTCTCACACTAGGTATGAGCATTTAATGAAGGCCTTACATTGTATTATATCATTCTGGACACAACAGAAAGCTTATAACTCACATTTATGCTTCATTTTACCTGCAGTTGGTTTAGTCTCAATGCCTGATGTGATTTTTGTCATTTTTTCATCATGCCTTTCTTTTTTATCCTTCCAGCGAAAGAAAGCTATATAGTTTATAAATCTGTACCGTACGGCTCAGTGGATGACACGGTCCCCTACTTGGTGCGTCGGGCGCAGGAGAACCGCACAGTGCTGCAGGGCATTCGCAAAGAGAGGGATCTGCTGAGGAAGGAGCTGAAACACAGACTGAAGCTGAAACTGAGAGGAGGAAGCTGAAAACATAGAGAAGCTTTTTTAGGAGAGCGAGTTGGTGTTAAATCTGCAGCTGAACCTTTTAGGTACAAGTTAAAATACTCTTTAAAATGAAAGCCTAATGTGAGCACTGCTGTGTACAGTTTAAGATTAATTTAGGACTTGAAGGTGGTATGCATTGTGCAATTTGGAACGTGGTTTGCTTTGCAATATTTAATGGGAAAGTTACTCAATGTTGCACGTCATAAAGAGTGCTGTGCATAAGTTGTAATCTTTCTGGCTCTTTGATAATCCCATTGTACACTAAAATATTATTTTGTGTCAAACTTTTTTGGTGTTTCATAGAATCAGCACCGTTTTCATGTAAGACTGCTAGACTGAGTGTAAAGATTCAACTCAAAGCGAGTTATTTGTTAAACCATCATTCTTTGAGTTTAGGAGCCTTTTTATGTCTGAATATTTTATAGTTCAGAAGTGGCTTGGAAACAGAAAACACAGTCATCTGAAAATGATCAGATGTTGAATTTTAATTTTATTTAAAACCTGAAGAAATGTAGATTAAGACCATTTTAGGAATACAAGAAAGTCTGGATGTTTGGAAGAAAACTACAACTTTTTCACAGTACTGTAAGCACGGCTATATGCTGCATTATATATATATATATATATATATATATATATATATATATATATATATATTTTTTTTTTTTTTTTTTTAAGCGAATACATTACATTATTTTATCAGTTATTAGTTTTATCAGTTATTGGTTTATCAACATTATCTGTACTGTAAGTGGTCTGGCAGTCTCAGTAACCATTAGTGTTCATCTTCATGTTTCAGCAAATCTTTACATGTTTTTTTTTTTTATCAAGGCTTTAAATATCTTATTGACTTTAGAACTAAACAATTTCAATAATCTGAGACTTTGGTGGTGATTCAGTGACCACATCTAAAATTTCTTGATTGGGCTGAATCTCACAATCACTGTTTTACTTGGTTTATGCACATCTGTAAGTTTGAAATGGACTTGTCACATGTGGACTGAAGTAAGCAGAACAAATGTAACCAATAAATGAAGTAGAAAAGGCCATTAAGTCATGCATACAATTCATAATTCTTTCATTCAACCTTTATTTATACAGATTAATCCCATTGAGCCTCGAGGACTCATATACAAGAGAGACCTGATTTAAAATAAAAAGCTCAAGGTTTGGATTATATCCAATTTATAAATTGGATTAATTTTTCAATTTTATACAGTAAAAAAAACATTTTTTCATATCCAAAAAAGGCTTTTTTTCTTCTTCAGCCTTTAACGGGTTAGCACGGGTGTCCAAAGTCTGGCCCGAGGGCCATTTGCGGCCCTTGGGCGTGATTTTTTGCAGCCCACGACTGCAATTAAGAATTGTATAATTTTGACCCACAGGCTTAAGAGGTTGATGCAGATGTAGACCTTCTTAGGTTTAACAGCAAAACAGAATGAAATAATCTCAAAATGAGCAATATTAAGTATAATACAAATATTTGGCTATAATTAATCCCTTTATTCTACAACAAACCCTCAATGACCTGTCAAAAAGTAGAATTTTGGATAATTCATAAAACCTGGCTAAATATAACAAGTGTTCTCAAAGAAAATAATTTCAGTTGATTTTATGGTATAATGGTATGGTATAAAGTTTATTCATTAAAAAAAACAAAAAACAATTCCATAACAATATAAAAAAAATACAAGAGATTTAAAATGAAAGGCAGCAGAAGAAAAAAAATCTTATTATATCTGCCCCTTTTTTCAAACAATTAGTTCAATGATTATTTTCAAGTAAAAGAACAAAATTAATAACTCTTTAATTTTTCTAATTCTAATACAAACACACACTAAGCTACTTCATATATATATATATATATATATATATATATATATATATTATTTTTTTAACAATTCAGTTTTGATCTTTTTCTTAAATGTACACATTGACTTGGCATTTTTCACATCACTCTCTAGACCATTCCACAATCCAACTCCTTGGATTGAGGTAGACCTTCCCTTCAGACTAGTTCTGAATTTTGGTTTGACAAATATCTCTATCCCCTTAAGATTATAACAACTTTGTCTTTTAACAAAATTTCTTTGGATATTTAATGGTAATGTGTTATTTTGAGCCCTATACATAACTGATAAAATACTATAATCTACCAAATCATGGAACTTCAATAACTTCAGTTGATAAAATAATGTGCTTGATGGGTGACTGTAATGCTTTGGTGATAATTCTTACAGCTCTTTTCTGTAAAATAAAAAAAAGGCTTTGTAAATGTTTTACACACTTTCCCCCAAACATCAATGCAATAGATTAAATGTGGAACAATAATTGTGTTATACAACATGTACAGAGCTTTATCATTTAATAATTCCCTGACTTTGTATAGTACTGCAACAGATTTAGATATTTTTGTTCTTACAGAATTTGTGATTTTTCCATGTTAGCTGTTCATCAATGATTACACCCAAAAATTTCATCTCATTAACTCTACAAATCTCAACACCCTCAATTTTAAATGGATCGTCAACAGTTCTCTTTTTGTTGCTAAATATCATGTATTTAGTTTTATCTAAATTTAATGATAATTTATTAAGTTTAAACCAAGTTTGTATTTGATCAAATTCTGTCTTCATCAATTCCAACATCCGTTTTACATCTTTACCCAAACAAAAAAAAAAAAGTGGTGTCATCTGCAAAAAGGACACATTTGATGAGTCCTGATACATTCACTAAGTCATTCACATACAAAATAAATAACTTTGCTCCAAGTACAGAGCCTTGAGGAACTCCACATGTGATATTGCAGAGGTCAGATCTTACACAATTTATTTGTACAAACAGTTTCCTATATTTCAAATAGCTAGATACCAGTGTAATGCTGGTCCTCTTATACCATATTTATTTATTTTTTTAAGGAGAATATTGTGGTCAATAGTATTGAATGCTTTTTTTTAAATCAACAAAAATACTAACACAATACTGTTTTTGATCGACAGCAGTAGTCATTTGTTCTATTAATTCCATGAGAGCCATTGATGTAGTTTTTTGCTCTAAACCCATACTGACTGCTACTTAGAATGTTTTGTTTAGTAATAAATTTATCTAATCTGGTCACAAATAGCTTTTCTAGAATTTTTGAGAACTGTGGTAATAAGGATATTGGTCTATAATTAGTGAACACACAATTATCACCATTTTTATAATCAATAGGAAGAAATTGGACATTTTTAAAGAAATAAAAAGTGGCATCATCGACATGCAATTGATCAACTTTATCAGTCTTTTCAAACATATGAATCAGTTTTAGCGACTGCCAGCTGGAGTTTTTCAGAACTTCGATGACCCTTTTGGGCGATCCATGGTACAAACGAGTGTTTGAAGCTCCACCCCCTTTTTAAAAAAAAAGAACAGCTATTCGTTTTAGGCTTTTGTCTCCTAAAAACAAACAAAAATTAATTTTCCAAGCACAAGAAAACAAATAAACGCCCCCCCCAAAATATAATCAATTAAGTTCTTAAAATAAAAAAGTTTAATGTTAATAATAAGGCTCCTAATATTCTGGATCTACAAGAATTTAAGCTAAACTTTTAACCTTTCTCCAAAATATTGCTCGTTGTTAAGTTTAAAAAAATGAAGGGAAATCACGCTGTTTAAAATTCTTTCGTTTCTTAAATTCACATTTTTCAGACCCGCGAGTCCTTTCAGACAGTTCTGGCCCACCTATGAAAATGTTTGGACACCCCTGGGTTAACATAAAAAAAATTCAATACAACACTTGGATTTTGACTTTGGTTTAACCCTTTGGTGTGAATAAAACAACACACAAAGTTTATTACTGTTTATTTCTTTAAATCAATATTAAGCTGACATGTTAAGTTGCTGACTGCAATACCACAAACCAGCTAACCACACTGCAACAGCTTGACTTTCTTTTATAAATGATGAAAATCTTCATGTTCTGCCACAAGAAGTTGACAATCTTGGACTTTTTAAAACTACGCAGCTGCTGTAGCTTTCAGCAGATTCAGGATCAGATGGAAAAAGTTCTGACAGGAGGTGGCTGAGCTCAGGTTGGGTCATGGAATGAACACATCTCTTGGTGAAAAACTGAAATCCACACATTCCAAACTCAGTAGCCGCCTTGGTTTTGATTCCTGTAGCCACCTCGCTGGTAGCCCCCTTGATAGCCCCCTTGATAGCCCCCTTGATAGCCACCCTGGTAGCCTCCCTGGTAGCCTCCCTGGTAGCCTCCCTGGTAGCCACCTTGGTAGCCACCTTGCTTCTGCTGGTAACCTTTCTGATCTGTGGTCGGGCAAAAGGGGAAATGGTTAAACTGACACACAAAGAACAAGCAAACATGCAAATATTCTAACTTCGTTATTTGTAAACTCAAGTTTCAAACGTAAATTGTGGATCAACGTACCTCTCTGGTATCCCTGCTTCTGCTGATAGCCACCTTTCTGATCTGGAGAGCAAAGAAAAGCAAATGTCCAGATCACTATTTAATCAGCAACTCCTCAGCATAAACTACATCAAAAAACAGATTGTTGTAGTTTTCACACTTTCTGCACAACTTTCACAAAAGTACATAGATAGATATGGGTTCATATCAGTAAAAACTGTATTTTAGTTGAGTGTTCGCACCCGTTTAGTGTGGGAGGCAGGGCACAAAAGAAAAAGCACGCTGCTGTCACGTGGCTCAGTACTGATTAAACCGCATCGTGCGAGCTCACCTCTGTTGAAGTAGCCTCCATAGACGCCCTGTTTGAGGTCGAAGATGCGCTCGTTGTTCTCCACCAGGCTGCCCAGTTTCTCTGCTAGCTGCAGAGCCATATTCTGCAGGGAGGTGGGCTCCGTGCGGTGCATCACCACCGTCTGTGTGGGCTGGTCAAGAGACGCCTGTTGGGGAAAGTAAAGATTTAGAGCCCTTTAAACACACGACGAGTAAAAAAAGCACAAAACACACTTACCATGAGTTCCTCATTAATGATCATCTTGCTGATGATGCTGTGAACTGTAGCGATTTCCAGCTGAAACATCTCAGACAGGGTCTGCATGCTGCCGTCACAGAAAATAAAGTTGGGTTTTAGTAGAAAATCTAGTTTAGATAAATGTTGAACTCGTTTTTTTTTTTATCTTTTGCATAATCAAACATTAGATTAACAATTTTATCTGTTTTGATGCTTAAAACCATTAACGTTACACTGAAGCACATCTTATTATAGATATTTAAAACCTTTACATACTTAAAACAAGTAGCAAACCCATCTTTTGCACTAATGATCATAAATTCCTCTTTGATTGTAATTTGTTTTGGATAAGTGTTACCATAATCAATGTAATGAAATAAAGGACATTTCTCTCTTTCATTATAGGTGTACGCATGCTGCAATAACAAACAGACAATCTTGCATGGACAAGAGGATGAAGTAGAAAATAAAAAGAAGAACGGTCAACCACAACCACTTTATTATTATTATTAGTAGTAGTAGTAATCCCCATTAATAATAAAAGGAAAGAGATTTGAGCAGTTTACAGGTAGTGAATGCAACTTACTACCATTATACAAGCAGGACGTCCCGCCCTGTCAACAGAACCGAGCGCTCTGCCTACCGAACTCCCCCCACCCCGTCGACACCTGCTGGCACTGACGTAGCACTAAGCTAACCGTTAATATGTGAATAAATGACGGCTTAGACTGCTGTGCGTTTACCTGATGGAGTCGTAAACACTGCTGTACGTGAACAGATAAGTCCTCAGGGATTCCTCTTGAATTTTCCTAATAAAGGAAGCACAATCATGAGTTTTGAAGTAATTAGCAAATTAATTTTTTACTCGATTTACACAGCAACATCTGATCTCGCAAGGTTCAACTGTGACACCAGGTAGGAGAGTTACCTGACGAGCATCTCACGAACTCTCTGCGTCTCAGGGAACAAGTCCCACACTTTACTGTTCATCTTCTCGTTGATGATGAAGGAGTGGCAGGTACGCCAGTCTCCCATCTTCATGGCCTTGCTGGCTGCTACAACGTGCTCCCTCATGCTCTCTGGGGGCCCTGAAAGGTAGAAGAGCGACAGTCTTCTCTGTAAACAAAGCTTCCACGGTGTGAAGGAGTTTAGGAGTCTTGTTTTGTACCGAGCAGCGGCTGTCTCTCTCCCACTCTGAGCTGGTGATGGAACTGCTTGCTGATCATCCTGCGGCGGGCGTCAAACTCGTGGGCAGCCATGTAGGGGATTTCCAACAGCATGGCAGAGACCAGGTACACACACTCCAGCAACTCCAAGTTGATGTGCATGTGGAACGGAACCTGAAACGGAAGGTTATAATAACACGGTCACATTTTATACGACCGAGTGCAAACACTTCATAAGAAACAGATGACCTTGGAGAAAGCTTCACTGCTTCTTCAGAACTTACTTGTCTTCTCTTCTCAATCTTCTCCTGCTCAGCATTCCTCTCCTGCATGTTCCTCATCAGCAGACCCTGACCCAGCAGCTCCTTGGCACGGCCCGATGACTGGATGTCCAACAGCGCGTTATGGGCGTCTTTAATCATGCCTTGTCGAAAAGCGCAAATGCCAAGCTGGACCATGGTTCTGTTGTACAGGATCTATGAGGGAGAAATACAGATGACAGATGTTCCAATTTAGAGATCTATTTTAATATGAAAATACGTTTAGTGTAGTTTGAAGTCAACCAACCTGTACGGGTGGGTCAGCGTGCTGGATGTTGTCCTGCAGGTGGCTCATGAGCATCAGGTCGCGGGCCTGGTACCAGCGTGAATGGAGAGCATGGTGGTAAATGTGGCAGAGGATGGCGCAGGTACGGATACGATCGGTGCGATCCTTGGCGTATATAAACTTGCAGAGACGGTCCATGATCACAGCGCTGTCCTCCCCTTCGCTTTCCTCCTGGTCCTGCTCGGACTAAATGTCAAACGGAAACAACTCTATCAAATTGACTGAAACAAACAAACAAAAAACCTGCAGATAATCAAAAAAATGTTTCTTTAGAATAGTCCTTGTGTGGTTTGTGCCATTCCTGTGCTGAGCTCACCTTGGTCTCTCCCTGCAGGCCCAAGCTGCGCCTGTGAGCTTTGTAGTCAAACTTGTAGTAGGTGTGCATGATTCGGCGCAGGTAGACGCGGCAAACCTCCTCTGTGCTGCCTTTGTTCTCCAAGTAGGTGAGCAGCCGGTCAATGATGCCACAAACTCGTCCCTCGTCTTTAAGATTGTCCACATACTCTGCAGAAGCAAACACAGGAGACCCCGACTGTTGGAGCAGCATGACACAGCAACACAACTCTGGGTTTTATTGACTCTTAGGAGACATTTTTAATTGAGCAATTATTCCTCAACATCTTCTTCATAGTTAAGAATATCAAAGGGATGGAAAGTCAGCCTCTGAGTCTGTTTTACCTTGTGAATGAGGATCGGTGTTTTGCATGATCTTGGTGAACTCTTCATCCATCCTCTCCACCAGTGTTAAGACGCAGCCGCGCACCCTGAAAGGTTGCTAAATGCAAACACAGAAATTATTTCCATTATTTAATTGTGTTTGCACAACACAGAATCAAACCATGTTTTATGGTTAACCAGAGATGCAAATGAGGCTGCACCTGTAAATGACAATAAGAGAACCCCACTGCTTTAAAGTTAACATCACAGCAAAGAAATGGATATACATCAGATTATATATATAAATATTGTATTTTTCGCTGTATAAGTTGCACCTTTTTGCATAAATTTGCAAGTACTGCGACTTATACAACGAAGTGACTAACCATATTAATAACCCAATTTTTGGCTGAGATATGACAATATCATTAATTCTGACATGGAAAATAATGAACACTACCATTTTCAGCCGCTAGAGGGCCCTCGACATATATGGCAAGCCAAGTGTCTCATTAATAGGTAAAAGTGGCTATTAATGAGACACTTTGCTTGCCATACAAGTCACCTTCGTCTCAGAAATGTAGCTGATTTGACCATTAAAGTACATTTATTAAGAAAAAGTTCAGCAGAGACACACATTTGCTATAATGTCCAGCAAACAAATAATTGTTTTTACGTGCTAATCTTGTTAAATTCTGGTTGAAGTCCTCCCGTGCAAGCTCCTGCGGCCGCCATTTGGCAGCCTATTGATTTTTGTCCCAACACCGGCCCAAGTTTCCAGATTGTCTGCGGTGATGCATAATAGATGCAACTTATTTATGTTTTTTCCACTTTATTGGACATATTTGGACTGATGTGGAGGAAAGTATGGTAATCTCCAACATGGTAAAACAACTATTGTAGAATTGTTTTATCTGATTATTTCAGTATAATTATACAGATTTATGAGTCTAAAAACTAGGAATGGGCATTTTAAGCAAAAATATTTCTTAAATTTGTTTGCAATTATTTGATTTTTATTTGACTATTCTACCCATTCAGCTAACAGCTGTCTAGATATTGAAAAAGCCAAACACGGAGAATTTTTGCATTGTGCATTTTATTCTGAGCCGAGTGTGCTTTAACCACGGTTAACATTACAAAACCTGATCATAAGAACGGTAAAACATTTTTAAAAAAGGACCGCGAGTAATGAATTCTGTCCTCTGAGGAATCTTCATTTTATCGTTACAATTCAGCACGGGTCCCTCACAAATTCAAATCCTGAACGAGAACAGAGAAAGTCAGTTTCTTTAGGTTTGCCTGCAAGGTAAGTCAGAGTCAAACAGTTTATTAGATTAAACCTAGTAATAAAACAGAATGTTAATATTTAAATAAACAGGGAAATTACCAAGAGTGAACTGATTTTCACTAAACCTGTTCTAAGTCGTGCGTTCACACGAACACACACGTGTATGTAAATAAATAAAAAGGAGGAGACGGGTCACCTGGTCAGAGACTGCTAGATGCTCGCTGTCCTCTGCAATGTTCTCCCCGATGAAGATGTTATTGTTCCCAAACAGAATGTCCAGCAGCTCGTCGATACATTCGAGGCACTTCTTCCACATGTCAGGCTGAAGAGGAACAGGTCAGAAACAAACTCCAAAGATTTAAAAGACAGAATGATGTTTTATTTAACACTAATGTTTGTCTGAAACATGTTGTCACCTTCATGAAGGCGGCCAGGTTGGGGTTGTAGTCATACAGAGAGGCAATGATGTTGAACTTGATCTTAACCAGGATACCCTGACCCAAGTCATTCTCAGCAGAAATGTTTGCAAGAGCATGAAGCAGATCAATCTGGGCAGCTCTGTCAGCAGAAATTAAAAAAAGAAGGATGAAATTAGGGGTGGGCGATATGGCTCAAATATAATATCTGGATATTTCAGAGCATTCTGACGATAACGATAAATTTTGTGATATAACAAAAAAAAAAAAAAAAAAAAAACCAGAAATGACAGTTGTTCATTTGATAAAATGAACTTGTTGCTTTGCAGTATTATATAAAAACAAACAAGGGTTAATTTGACTGCAATTATTTAGTAAAGTATTTTGGAGAGTGGTGGCACAGAGGTTAGAGAAGATGGGCCTGTGATCGGAAAGTTGCAGGTTCAACTCCCGGTACCGTTAACATCAAAATGTGGATGGAAAACTCATTCGCCTCGCTCTGGGCCCCTGAGCAAGGCCCTTAACCCCCACAATCTGCTCCCTAAACAGGTCTCTATTGAAAATGAGTTCTCGTGACTCAACGAGACAACCTGGATAAATAATGGGTAAATGGACAAAAAAAATTCAGTCTCAAAGTACAAAAAATTAAAAATGATTCTTCTGTTATTTAGATTGAAAAAGTCTGCACAAAATATAGAAGAAAATCCACCACAAAAACGGATACGAAACGGTCCAGCCTTAGATGAAATCAGAACGACTTCACACAATGAATAAAAAGACAAGATAACTTTAGAAGAATTGTTGCTACGTACATAAAACTGTCTGGTTGATGCTGAAGTTGATATATAAATACTGACTGTAACTGACAAGTACATTATTTTAATTATTTGTTACAGTGTTTCATCAATGAACATTTTAAGACACAAGTGCTCAAACATTTTAAAACCTGTTCTTGTATTTTGTAGTGCTAAATCTGGAAGAACAAATGTAAAGTATCCACAAAGTACAGTCTCTGACTCGTTTAATAAACTGGTCAGTATTTCTGGGTAGTAGAGTAGTCCCTGGCTACTTCGCGGTTCGTTTATCGCAGACTCGCTCTATCGCGGTTTTTTAAAGTAAGATTGGACATGACACACAAATGATCTCTGTGCTCCGGTGAAGACAGACGCGTCTTCCTGTGCTCTGTCCCCCCCTGCTTCCTCTCTTCCGTCTTGTGAACCCTTTAAAGAGCCTCTTTTTCTGCATACGGTACTAATTCGAAGGATTTAAAATTCAATGTCTTCACCGGCCTATATGTTCATGTATAACGTCTGTTTATGTTGCTTTGCTGTGGTAGGGTTTTTTGATGCCTCAAATCGTGCCCTGTCTAGGACAAGGTGTGAGATCTTTTTTTTTTTAATACCTTCTCTCCTCATGTTTTCTTCCCTTTTTTCATCTAAGCAAAAATATTATTCTGAATAAGAAGGCCGTGCTAATTAGCAGCAGCTTTGTGCACTCCGTCCATCGACTGTACGTACATGTTCTTGTTGTATCTTGGTGCAATGATAATAAAGTTTATTCTGATTCCGATACAGACTTTCCAAGACTCAAAATTTCAGATTTATCTGTCAACTTGAGCCAATTTTACATCAATAGTTTGTATATTTGCTGTAATTTACAGTTTTTACAGTGATGTTGTTTTGAATAGTTGTTTTTAACTCATGTCAAATTATTGGATGTAGGAATTTCCCCACCTCAGTTTTCTTTCCCCATTGACTTCACAATGCAACTCGTATTTCCCACAACAGCAACAACTTATTTTCCACTTAAATATAGCTTTATTTTATTTTGACCTTTAGGAAAATAGAAATGTAAAAAAAATTTTGGGCCTAAATGAAATAGCTTTAATGAGAATCTGAAATCTTAAAATTAATTTTAATCTTCACACATGATTCTGTATGTTTGTCTGTTAAATGAAACAGGCAACACGGTCTGGAAACGTGTTTTTAAATACTTTGTTTTTTTTACTTTTCACACTGATTAAGACCTAAGAAATGTACTGAAATTAAAACTCCATAATTTAAAACTGTAGGAAACCCGAGTTTACCTGTCTGTCCCCTTTTTGCCTCTTGCCTGCAGGATTTCGTTTAGTTTCTTCACCACCACAGCTGTGTTGATCTCTGTGCCTTTAGCAAACATTTTGGGTTTCTCCTGATGTGTCGACACACAAAGTAACACACATTCAGTCTTCGTTACACACATCAACTGCTTTGTTGTATTGTTTCTGCAACGTGACAGTAATAAACGTACAAGTGATGCTTTACCTTAACCAGAGGGACGCCTCTCTTAACCTTCTCCCAGCGTTCTTCATCGTCTTCTCCCTCCCCCTCTTGAAACTCCCCAAGCCGCTCCTTTTTTTTCAGCTTTTTCTTCTCAAGCTTTTTAATGCTGGGTCTGTCGAGACCTTTGTCCCTGCAGATATTCACAACACAAATGACAACATGATCTTTTTTGATCCATCAGAGCTGCAAACTACTACTGCTTCTTGAACATTCATTTCATCCATCATCTTTAACCACTTCTTCCTTTTCAGGTCACTGTGCGAGAGGCGGGGGACACCTGCACAGGTCTTCAGTCCATCACAGGGACACACAGAGAAAACGAGACAAACAACCATTCACTCTCTCACTCACACCTAGGAACAATTTAGAGTTACCAATCAGCCTAACATGCATGTTTTTGGTCTGTGGGAGGAAACTGGAGCACCCAGAGGAAACCCACGCATGCACGGAGAGAACATGCAGAATTTGATCCAGCAACCTTCTCGATGAGGTGCTGCTCATTTATCTAAACCCATAAACTGTAAAACACTAAAAAAAATATTAAAAAAAATCACAGAAAAAACAAGAACATTTAGCTAAGTTTGTTAAGAGACTAAGCTTACTTCTTGAGGAAAACAGTGGCCAGAGACTTGCTCTTCCCTTCTTCATCATCTGAACTCTCACTGCCACTCTCTTCAGAGTCTGGGCCCCAATCCTCCTCATCGTCATCATCCTCACTAGAAGTCGACTCATCCTGTGAAAGGGAGGAAAATCCTCTGTTTAGCTCCCCAGACATCCCATTAAACAGAAGTCTATTCCACACAGTTGGCTTCTTACTCCAGATCCCTTCTTCAGGAACTTGCTGGCTTCTGAAACGCCTTCAGGTTTTTTCTTTAAAAAGGCCTTGGCTGACACTCCATCACCTTCCTCATCATCGCTTTCAGAGGAAGAGCCTTTTGTAGCAACAATAGCATATTTTACAAATTAAAACATTATAATCATGTCTTAAGAAATCTAAAAAAAAAACCATAAATAAATAAAACACACTATAAAACTGCCTTTTTTAAGCAAATAAGTTTAACATAAAACCAAAACGTATTTTGCAGTGAATGTGTAATTTTTTTTTGGGGGGGGAACACCAGTACACTGGATTGCTAGACTATGAGCGTTACTGAATGCTGATGCAAACATTTTAAACATGATATAAATGTAAACAAAATTTACAAATCTAACTGCTCAGCAGGTTGTGCATGTTATTGAGGGCATTTTCAACAGTTTTTAAAACACGACTGAATAACAAACATACCAGAATCGTCTTCCTCTTTCTCCTCCTCTTCATCTGCAGATTCTTGTGGGTTCTAATAGACAAAAATATTGTTTTTTTTTATTTTGCTTATTCAGGCAATTGCGTCATATATGAACTTTAGCCAATCTCATTTATAATAACTTTTTGTTGTTGACAGTACTGAAGCTCAGAACTACATCAAGAACGTCTCAGTTACCTCTTTGTACGACGTTATTTCTGTTTCAAAGTCTCTGTTGTACTTGCGGATCTTTTGGCGCAGTGTGCTCAGGGCTTTAGCGTTGTTTTTGTTCATCTTCTTTTTGCCCTCCTTGTCTTCCCAAAGCTATAAACAAAATAATTTCACTCATTTCATACACACAAAACAAAAAGTTGCACTCTTAAGCCCGACAACCAACCTGATTCAGATAGTCCTCCAAGTCAGCCAGAAGACGGATGTAAAAAGAAGGGACACCCTCTTTGTCCACTATGTTCTTGCTTTTTAGGAAAGCTCGACATAGCTGCTCAAACTCCTCCAGACACTTGGACATGTCGCGGATCTTCATAGCATTTCGAATAGTCTTTATGAAGTTGGTCAACTCCTCAAACCTAAAAAAATAAATAAACAGGAATTAATGACACAATAGACAGTCATTTTAAGAATAAAATGGTGGAACACAAACCTTTTATCTTTGGCGCTGCGCACCACTCTTTTTGTGTCCTCTTCATCATCACTAAGAAGCAACGACCTGCGAAGACACCAATGCGTAAAATCATTATAAAAAAGGATCTTCGCAAGCACAACTGGTCATATTTTCAGAAAGTGGCACTGACTGCTTAAAGGTTCCTCCGGGTGCTTTAGGAGTGATCTCATCAGCTGATGAGGACTCCTCAGACTCGCTGTCAGACCCGGTGGCAAAAAAACGAGACATTGTTGCTGCAAACGCTCAATCTGCAAGTGGAAAGAATAAAAATACACATCAGAGCTATGATGTTTGTGAGAATACATAAAATACGCCTTTATTTTATTATATCTTGTTATAAAGATTCAATGAATTGTGATCATCCACACATGTGGTGCAGGGATAACCATCACAAAATTAAAAAATATTAATCCATAGCCCAGTTAAATTAACTACAGTGACAGTTCAATAGCAATATTAAGCAAAACACGTGTCCTATTTACAATAGGCATAGCTCTGTGCAAAACAAACCTTACTTTTACAGACTTTGCTACAAGAAGCAAGATTTTTTTGTTGTTGTAATTTTTAAAGATTATATTGATCAGAAGTTCTCAGACGGTCATGAACAGTATGTGTCTACCAAAAATAAGAAAAGTGGAGGGAAGGACAAGTATCCGCCTGTAAAATGCCTGCACAGCTGGTGAACAGTATCCAAATGTTATATATTTTTTAAATCTATACACTTTCACATATACCCAACACAGAACCCGACATTTTTTTAACGATTACAGGCAAGTTTTCAGCTAATAACTATAGTAATCATTGCGTTGACGCCAGAGAAATAATGTCAAAAGGACAAAAACTGAAGTTTCTAAACGTCAGCGAGAGACGCTGGTACCGTTACCATCAGATAAGTGCTATGCTACTTAGCTAATTCAAAGTATTTTAGCATATGGAATAATAACACTGAAGGAAACAAGTATAATTACTCTCCACTGGCACGTTTGATCAAAATGCGGATACCACAACTACATATAAAACTACAGTACATACCGTGCATTGGTAACAAGCAAACACTAATGTTTAAAGAAAACTGAAGGCCGCTACTGAGGAGGTGCGGGGTAGCTGCTAAGCTAACACCAGGCCTCTCACATGCGCAACCCTTAATATCCTCCGCTCAAACAAAAACTCAGATAGAACTCCGCAATATTTAAGAAAATTAGACTCACCTATGTTTTGTAAAAACAATCTTGTGTTTGTTTACGCTGATGAGTTATAAAATCCAGTTTTGCTGAGGAAGGGAACAAGGAAAACGCGTGCAGCAGTACCGGGTACTTGCGTCAGAAAAGGAAGTGTCCCGCAGATCAATATACAATATGGATGGTCTACAGCAGATATACAAACTCGCTAAAACGGATTTATGTGCGATGCTGCCACCTAGCAGTTGGATGTGTTACTGCAACAGACGTGAACCCTCTTAGTGAACCAGATTTCTCTTTGCTTTTAACATGTTTTGTTTGGCTTCACTGACTACCAAACAGCTAAAGAAAAACAGTTCTATATTGTTAATCTTATTATATACCTCACCAAATGGCATATTCATGAATTTCAATACACTAATCAAAAACCTCTTATCTTCATTTTTGAAAATGAGGTCAAACAATACATCAAAACTATTAAATATTCCACCAACACGAAGGCCATTAAAACTTGCACTTTATGTGCTCTCTTCAATACATTTATGTAATATGTTTTTGTAAATTATTGTCTCAGTGTTTGTAACCCCCTGGCATCTGTTATATCATTACTGTATACTGCATTTTATTGTATTGTTTTGTACTTTTTCAATAAAGATAAAAAAAAAAAAAATAAGTGTACAACAGTATTGATGAAATATGAGCTACTTAAAATTTTCTTAACAAACTCAAAATTGTTCTACTGGCTTGCAAATTGACAGAAAATGTCCATTTACTCTATTGTCTTACTTCAATGCTTTTTTTAATTAAAGAAATGTGCTTTTGTAGTCGTATTCTAATGTAGTCACGGTTTAGTGAATTGTTTTTTTTTTTAAAAACTTATCAAATTTGAGTTAAAGCTTTTTGTTCAAAAATACAATGTGCAGTATACATTTTTACCATATATTCCTGTTTTATCATACATCAAATGCACCTCTTCAGATCAGTAATTGTCTTTACTTTTTTTTTGTCTGTCCTTTTAGGGGTCGTCACCGCACGCCATCCACCTCCGAGCAACGTATTATTAAATAAGCAGATATTTTACTTGTATATAGAGTTTTGCATGATTTAGCTTCTCATCCACAAAACAAGTCAAGATTTATTGTCAGTTTTCCTTATGTACTGTATACAGAAAATCAAAACTGCAGCCCCTTCTTGTCCATGGGGCATAGAACCCCCCCCCCCCCCCACTTATTTTACATAACATATATATAACTGAAACATAGATTTTGTTAAAATAGGAAAAAACATATTTACAGAAATGAACAAGGGTTTAGAAATCAATGGTACCTATGTGAGAGGAAAAAAGGGGAGGGTGGGAGCTCCAGCACTTCTCAGGTTATGGAGGAAATTGAAGCGATGTTGGCTGCGATGTTGTGTTGCTCTTCCATGAGATGCTGCATCCCCACAGCAGCACCATTGCTGGTTAGAATGTTTTTATTAAGTCACAACAATCTCGTCTTTTCCATGTGAAGTGGAAAATTGTTTTCTTGTCACCAGACAGGCGTCTCAACCTCGCTCCTGTAGTTCGTCTCAGTTTATGATGAAACCCACGACTGTTGTGTCATCTGCACACTTAAAGAGGTTGGAGTTGTGTCTACGTGCAAGAGTGAAAAAGAGGGGGCTCAGCACACATACTGGTGCGAGTGGTTGGTTCAGTGTGGTTTGTCAATCAGGAAGTCCAACAGCTAGTTGAGCCCCAGACGGCCGTTTGTGAAAGAGCTGTTGTGTGTGTGTGTGTGTGTGTGTGTGTGTGTGTGTGTGTGTGGGGGGGGGGGGGGGGGTATGATCATGTTGAACCCTGAACTGAAGTCAATGAACAGCATTCTCACACAACTCCATGTTAGGAGAACGTGTGTGAGGACAGCTGTGAAAATGTATATAACATTTATGCTATAGTGAAAGCTTAACAATTAGGAATGATTCGAATTAAACATTAAAATTTAAACTTTATTGAAAAAAAAAAGATAAAAAAATTACAAAGTATTCAGAAAGTTATTTCAAGTTCTTCAATATTCAGTTGTCCTCTTGTTTTTGGTATTTTTGAAGTTCTAGAGGAACAAAATATATTTTTTTGCATCAGTAAGACAAAACACCACAAGTACTTAAGAAACTTGAAATCAGGATTAATATCATTTTAGATTTCAAACATTTACTTTCTCTTTTAATTTGTAATGTGTTACCTTGTTTCAGCTTCTGTATTTCATCTGATTTTTGTTTGAGCTCCTCCTGAAGAACACCACATCTAGCACAAACTGCAGAGACGGACAAAAGTTCCTATCAAGCAGTAATTCTGAATTTAGTTTTATTTTGTGTAACAGATATAAAAATAAAATAAAAAAAAAAAGGGGAAAAAGCCATTTCATACTTTTACTGACAGTTCCACTCACAAGAGACATTATTTAACGTTAACTTGATAAATTGATCCCTGCAGTTTTAATACAAGTCTCTTGCTCCGTCTTAATACAGATATTAATTATACACTGTAGCAGCTAGATATGATAATTATTCACTTCTGCATCACTGATGTAATTAATACAAGCACCATAAAATAGAAATTAGCAGTTTTTCCTCAAAAGAACTGGAAAATAAGTTAGAGGGTATCTTAACATTAGCATGTTTAAGTGTAATTTAAACAGGTCTCTCTTGAAAATGAGTTCTCGTGGCTCAATGAGATTACCTGTATAAATAAAGGCTAAATGAAAAAAAATTTGTTTCATGATATCTGAAATGGACTCTTGACCTTAACTTACCTCTTATTGACCTCTTACTAAATCCTTTGGATTTAGTAAGAGGCGTTCTCAGGCTGGCTCTAGGTGTTCTCAGTGCTCGGACCCTGCTCGATGAATCACATGATGTTGAGGTTTCGACACTACCTGCTGGCCCTGCAGCCCCTGAAAGGAAAAGGAAAATGTCAAAAGATTGCCAAAGTCAGCAACACCAATCAGTGTTCCCGATGAAGTAACTTACCATTGCTGTGGATTTGAAGAGGGACAGATTTGAGACTGGCTGTAGGCCGTTTCAGGGTTTTCACCCTGTTTGTAGCATCACAAGACGATGCGTCTTCAATAAGACAGGAAGGTGCAGTAGCATCTTAAAAAAGAAAAAATGAAGTAATTTTGATGTAGCCATAACTCACCCGTTACTTGTGATCAGCTCAGAAAGATCACGTTTTCCTAACACAAATATTAAAGATGTTGTAAAATGCTAATTAAGAAATTACATTTAAATAAAGTTTAACCACCAAAATTTATCTTAAAAGTTGAACCGTGACAACTTATTACCGGTCTTCTTCTTCTTCTTCAATGCTGGCAACGCCTCTCCCTTAGTTAATGGGTGCTTCTTTCCTTGGGAGGACTTTGTCGCAGGGTTGGTAGCTAAAGCAAGGAGAATAAAGTTTACTGTAATAAATGAGGATGCATGTCACAAGCACGTAGTAACTGGGCAAAAAAACTAAGTGATTAATGAGAAACACCTGTAAAAAGTTTTCCAGACATGTAGGCAAAATGTCTGAAGGCAAAAAAGTGGCATTTTACAACCTTGTTTGATTATTTGCAAGCAAAATCTGACATGTATTAATAGTCAGTTTGGAAATGGGGGGGAAAAAAAAAAAATTAAAATTGAAAACAGTAACAAGTTTAGAAGTACCTGTAGGTTCAGGGGCGTTGCTGGTACTTGAAGATGAAAGCCTACTGGATCTTGCCAACAGCGGCCTGAGTGCTAGTGCAGGCCTCTGGATGCTTAATCGAATACCGCTCTGTTGAGGTCTCTGAAAGCCAGAAGTGGGCAGCTTGGAAGCTAAAAATCAGCAAAGAGGAAGTGTAAGCAATGCAAACAGTGCACACAAGTCTCCCAATAGTAATGACGACACACTACAAAGCTAAAAATATGAATTTAACATGTGAGAACACATTGCATACCTGCTGCTAAAGACCCCAAACCATACGAGCTTGATGTTCCAGAGCTCTAAAATGCACAAAAATAAGAGGCTGTTATCAAAATTGTCTAGTTTTTCCAGTGACTTCAAACTGAAGTCACCGTCAAAGAGTTCCAGTTTCAGAGGAAAAACCACTCAACCTACCCCCCGTGGTTCCTCGACAGCAGTGGTTTTTGCACAAACGGTTTGGATTGTTGGCTTTTTAATGGGTTGGCCGGTCATCACCTTTTCAAGCTGCCCTGGGACCGCGGACCCTTGCATGTTCAACATTTGGTATGCAGATTTTGAAGGTGGGCGAAGCCCTCTAGGGTTAGATTGTATGAACGTTTTACGATCACAGACGATGTTTGTTGGGTTATTTTCTGGCACCTTATCAAAGGCCTTGTTGGGATCATCCTGATACAGTTTTTTCTGCACAGCCAGGTTTGTGTCCACCTTTTGCTCCTTGTCAAAGTTAAGCATTTTACAGCTGGGCATTGGTGTTGAAGTAATCAAGAAGTTTGTTTCTAAATCTAAGGTCTCGTCCAAGTCGAACGTGTTCGCCTTGTTGTTGTTTACCACGCTCCGATTCTTTAAAGCACTAAAATGACCATCTGACATGAGGAGTCTCAACTGTGGAAGATCCTTGAATTCATATCCAGGAGCCGACTCCAAAGCAGAATTTGCCTCAGTTGTGTCATCATGTTCAACCTTTTTGTCATTTGACTTCGGCAGCTCAGAATATTCTTCATCTTCAGGGGTAGTAGCGTCTACATTAGAGATTTTAGGAGAGAGGGGCTTGTCCACAGAGTTGTGGTGACTGTCACTTGAGCTGATCTCTGATAAGGTCACGGTGTCATTTTTTTGAGCGGGATCTTTACAATCAAACGTGTTGTTCCGGATGCCGAGATCAGCAGCTGAGACGTTACAGGATTTTTGAGAAGAATTTCTATCAAATGTGGCATTCTGCACTTTACCGTGGCTGTTGTGCTTTTCAGACGTTTTGGTGGTGATGGACTTTGTCCGATCTCCAGCCACACGTTCTGCCTTAAAAGAGTTGTCTGCTGAAAAATCAAACGTCTTATTCTCAGGACAGGAAATCGAAGCGGTAGAGCTCAAATCGGAGGCAGCGCTCGAATGAGAAGACGGCAGAATAGAAAATGTTATGTTCTCAGACGCAGTCCACGTTTGGCTTTGCTGCGACACCTCGCTGGTTGACTTGACGTCGCAACTGGTCTGCATCTCTTCACAATTGGTTTCCAAAGGATTTGGGTTCTCTGCAGGATCGGAATACACCTCAGATGGGACTCTAGTTAAACTGGCGTTACATTTTACACCAGAAGTAGAGAGGTGTGCTCCCTTAGCAGATGTGTCACTAGAGGAGCTTATATTGAGAGTAATATTAGCAGGTTGGGTGCAAACATTGTCCTTATCTGGCATTTGAGAGACCTCCATTTTTTGTCCACTGGTCTCTGACGAGTTGCTTTTATCCAAAATGCCAACCATCGTAGCATCCAAGGAGGTTCCAGTTCTTGTCGTTTCACACTTGGCAGAGTGCACACTTTCCTCAATTGGAACTGCACTTGAAACGTCAGGTTCTGACACAATTTGCCCGTTGAGCTTTGACAAAGTTACGTTCGCTTTTAAATGATCAACTGGTAAAAAATCCCGAGTGGTGTCCATGAATGTCAGATGCCCAACTGGCGAGGGCTCAGAGTTGGACGAAGCATCAAGAAGAGTAATTTCTATATCAAATATTCCCGCGGCTGCAGCAGCACTCTTGCTTTTGAAGCGACTAACCATCTTGCAATCTAGGACTGTACTCACTGTAATATTGACTGGTGGTAGTAAATCAAGAGGGTCATCCTCTTCTCCAGCGCTTGTTTGAACTCTTTTCATTTCAACAAGCTTAGACACTGCAGGTGAATTTTGAGGAAGGACTGAATTATTTGCCGTCAGGTCGAAGTAAGTGAGATCGTGAAAGGTGATTTCAGGCAGGGATTCATCTTCTATCAGGCTCACAGGAGCATCCATTTCATAGAATAGACTCCCAGACTCTCTTGCTGATTTCTGACCATTTACTCTTGAAAAATTCATGTGGTGAAAATCAGATTTTAAAAGCTGTGAAGACGAGCATCCATTGTCAATATTTAGGCCATTTAAATCTGGAGTTAGAGCAGACCGGAAACAAGACTTTGCTTCGACCCCACCACGCTCACTTGTTGGACTCGAGAAAGCAGCGTCACAGACAGGTCTGGCGTCTTCACATAGCTGCAAAGAGGAATGCAAAGCTTTATTCTTTGCTAAGACGTTGACCTTTGAAGTGCCATCTTCACCAGAAACGTCAGGTGGGATATTTTCACTGCATTCATCTGCTAGTGAATCTTCTTGAATATATGAAATTGTCTGGTTGGCCATGAAGAATGGCTTTTCCTTCATGACACGAAGATAAGATTTATTCCTCTTCTTAATGAAGCAAGACCCAGACAGCCTGCGAGTTCAAAGAGATTAAAACAAAACAGTTTTATTAAAATTTTCAACATTTCTGGAAGGAAATTTCCATTTTTTCTTGCTTATCAAGCTACTTTTGAGACATAAAACAAGTCTGTATGACTAAATTATTTAAAAAAAAAATGGATAAAATGAGTTAAATTACAGTTTTCTCCTTCATCCAAATAAATCCAGATAACTATGAAAAGGGTAAGAGCTTGGATCAACTTAAGACTTCTTGAACATGATATATGCTGTGGAATGAAAGCAAACCGGTTTATCATCTCAGGTATGGACTCAACACAATACATTTAGGCTGTTCTATAAACCAGAGGCTGAAAAGATAAATTAAACTAAACTTATAGCTTCAAAGTAGAAGGTAAAGCATAATATATCTAACACTACAAAAATAAAACTGAGTTTTATATAGCTATAGGAAGCCAAGTCTAGAAACACCCATATTCAGTTTAAAACCATTAAATTCAGTTTCTGCTGGTACAAGTTTCAGCCCATACCCATTTCAGATGTTCTAAAACTAGTAAACTGTGTTTAAGTCCCCAGCAAGTCACTGACATTAGACGATACTTTGCTAACTCAGATCAAAGCAAGCTAATTAAAACATGTGACTGAAAACGCTTTTGAAAACAGTGGCAGTGCAGCACTCTGTGTGTGTTGAGTTGTTAGCATAAGTGTTGGTTGGTAAATCAACGGAAGCTCAAAAACACGAAGCTTATTCGTACTAGCTTACCTTGTAACAGCTAACAGGCACGTTTGCTTTTTGACTGTTTCAACCCCAAAAACTTAAACAGACTCAAAAACTAAACAGTTGTCGGTTTCATACACAACTGTAAAAAAAAAAAAAAACACGGCTGTTTAAAATGAGAAATTTCCCTCAAATTTATTGGACGGTTCCAACCAATCATAGCTGGAGGTTTTCTTCTTCGTGGTTTTTAGTGTTTATTGAGCAACAGCGACACCTATCGACTGCGGAACAAGACAACATTTTCACCATAGATATATAAACGATATTATAAATATTGATTCATAAAGATATTTATATATTAAAAAAATATTTAGCTGTAACATCCAATTATGTCTAAGTTTCAACCATCTAGTTTTTGACTGGAGGTGAAATTAAAGAATGTAGCTTGTTTTGTCTCGTTTTATATCACTACTTGTATTTCATTTGATATGCTTTTTTATGTCAGTTAGTTGTTGTGCGTGTCTCATATGTGTGTGTTTTTTTGTGTTTAAAACAGTTCTCTCTTGTAAATGAGTCATCGTGACTCAATGAGACTTACCTGTATAAATAAAAGTTTAATGAGAAAAAAAAAAAGAAACAGCATGATGATACTACCACCATGCTTGACTCTTGTATATGTCATTTGTAGGCTTGAAAGCCTCATTTAGACCCTTCAAAAATACTTCTCATCACTTTGTCCAGAAAGATTTTGGTTTGTTAAACAGGAATTATTTGATTGCA